TATTTTATATATTATTTTGTGGGTTCTTTTTTCTCTCCCCAGTACTACAACCTAATTTGTTTGTCAATGTATTGCAATGTCCAATAGAGAAATAAATAAAAAAGAAATAAAATTTGTAAAAATTGAAAAAAAAAAAAAAATGCTAAAAGAACAAAGAAAAATACACTATTCTGGTGAAGAAAAACACTTTGAGCACAAAAAAAAAATGAAAAGAAACCAGTATCATTTAAGATTATCTTTCCACTTAAAATTCTTCTTTTTTTTTTTAATGTTTATTAGATTTAAATGATTATGTAGATCATTTGAAATTTATATGAAAGGAGATAATATCTATATATATATATATATATATATATATATATATATATATATATAAAAATAATTAAAACAAAAAAATTATGCAACATTTTTAAAAATTAAATATATTTTTAATCTATTACAAATTTTAATTTTTTAAATGTTTTTAAAACAAAGTTTCCTTTTATATATTTTAAATTGTCAGAGTCCTTTTACTTTGATATCACAACTTTGCAACACACTTAGCATTACATATGACTTGTTTGGTTCTTCAGTTAAGGATTCTAGTTTTGATAGAAATCACAGTGATCAAACCTTTGAGCCCAAGAGTAGTCATCAAAATCTTAGTAATTATTTCATGCCCTATGCTCACCATTGTCAGTTTATGTATTTGTGAAATAGGCAATATTCCAAGTACAATAATATCTATTCTTAAGAAACAAGTTCAATGAGCAGAACATTTAATCCAATAAGAAACAAATAGGACCAACTAAACCTCATTGAGTGGAAATAGTGGGGGGTGTCCTTTGAGGATAAAGCTAGCTAAAGGCATCAACATCTTCATAGAAACATAGATTCAATAGGAAAAGAAGGAAAATTATCTTGAAAAAAAATGTAATTTATTGCCTTTTCCTTTTTATTTCAGTGGACAATAAAGAAAAACTCACTGAGTTACATGGTCAAATTTCCATTAAACAAAAGAGCTTACAACCAAATAATAGGCTTTTTTTTTAAAAGATGATTAACCACTAGTAATATATAATCAAGTAGACAACAAGCCACACTGTTTCATGTCCATTTCTGTACATGATAAAGTACCAAGCTATAATGTTAGCTTCCTTGGCACATTATGACATGCTTTGTTGTCAGAATATGTTGTGCTATGATGAAATTAGATAAAAATAATATAAACCCAAGTTTTCAGAAAGAAAAAAATGAGATAGACAATGCTATAATAATAAAAAGGCTTCCTTATAATTCTATGCATCATAGCTACAAGGAATTAAGGGCCTCTTCGAACTGAACCCATTATTGCATCAATAAATCAACATACTGTTGTTTTTAATGCAAGGATATATATTACTATCTAAATAAAAATGAACTGAAAATTGATATTAGTATTATTTGCTATAAATACACTAATTAAATGAATAACTTCATTTTTTAAAAAAGACTTTATTCAGTGTTTTATATTGCATTCACTACAGTGAGTTTATCACAGAAAAACAGCAGTGATATACATGTTTCCAAGCACTTAATTATTTAAATACCATGATAACTGCATATCAGGCTGAGAATATCAAATAACCAGCAATATTCCATACATATACTGAAGGTTATATCCTAATACATGTGGTGCTTTACCTGGACTCAAAGACAACAATACATATTCAAATAGACATGTTTACTTATTGAAGCATTCAAATATAAAAGTAATTCTTTGTTCTTTATTTAATTATGAGAAATCAGTTATTCATAATAGCAATGCTTCATCTAAAAAATTCAAACTAAATAATTACTAATTTAAAGAATTATTAATTAACTTAAAAGGCCATTTTTAAAGTTGCAAATGAAACGAAGTTGAATTTAAGTACTTACTAGTTCATATCTTTCAATTGAACCTATTGGAACCTATGCTTGATGCTTTTGCTTTCATGAATTACTGACCTTACATAAAATATATATATCATATGGCAAACACAGAAAATATCATATGGTATAATAAAAAATAACATTAAAAGTTGATAATTTTACGAAAAAATATTTATGACCCGTAATTAAAACTGATTTTTACAGAATAGCTGCTATGTAGAGTCTAGTCTAACTTACATAATGTTTAGTTTGTAGGGTGTGTTTAATTTGATAAGGGATTAAAATTTTCAGTGCTCAAGAATCAATGCTATTTTCAACTGAATATACTGACTTTTATCAGTTGGCAACTTCATGCATTTATGCTAAAAGACTGTCAAAATGCAGAATGCATTGTAAAATATCATTCTGGTTGGCAATATTTGTTTTGATATCTAATTGAACTGGGATGAGAAGGAGCAGTTTTTGTGAAAATGATATATACAAGGAGTTGGCTTTGGTTCAAGAGAAACATTTTTAGACAGGCATTAACATTCATTTACTTACTTTCACATTTTTACTCATGAACTGAAAAAAAAATGCTACCATTAACCTTTTGGTTTGGCTAATTTCAAATTTGGTTGATGTACGTTAATTCCAAAATATTTTTTTTATAATGTTATTGAGATTTACATTTAGAAATATACATTTCTAATATTGTATTGATTATAGAAAAGTGGAATTTACGACATGAGCTTTCCTGTTATGCAGCATTTAATTAATAAGGTTCAACTGCTCATACAAGATTTGTGAAATCCATAACCCATATTGTTCAAAGAGCCACAGCAAAAATTAGTCTTGTACTTATAACAACTGCAATACCAACATGGTATAAAAATGTACAATGTTCTATTAAAATCATTGAGTTTTATCATATATTTTAAATCCAAATATATTTTAAACCATGAAAGAATAAATATTTCCGTTTCCTTCAAACTTTCTAAGTTACTGACATAATTCCAAAAGAATTACAATATAAAGCGAAGGACGATGATAAGGTAGAAGAAAAATACATTTTTAAATGAAGAATAAAAGCAAAGAGCCCACAGTCTTGCTTACTTGAAGCTATGTATAAATCACTCTGTCTGAATGAGTGCCACTATTTATTTAAGTTTGACCCTTAACTAGAGGTTGGCTCTGTGGTTTCTTTTCCCCCCAAGTACCAACCAGCTGCTACTGCTTGTGCAATAAACCACAGACCCTTATACTTGCCTGTCTATGTAACTCTTTACTTCTGCTCCACCATGAGCCTTAGGCAGCTGTGCCTCTGTCACTACAACATTGGCTCAAGTAGTTAAGATCAGGTCTCTTTCAATGAAATGAAGGAAACTGATTTCATAGACAACAAAGCTCAGAAGAGCTCTCAAGTACTACAGGCATTAAACTAGCTTTCTATACAAATACAACTATCTTAGAAGAAAGAGGATAAAATATGTTTACAGAAGCAGCCCATATACTGACATCAAGTATTATTTTATTTGTTTTTAGCTAGTATCTAAAGAAATGGATTTTTACAAATCCTACAATACATTTTGGACATGAGATTTGTAAGAAAAAGTTAAAAATTACTTTTTTAATAAACAATCTTTGCTATCCACAGCTAACTCATTTTTTGTTTTAGTTTAATTATAATTTAAAAAAAGTATCTATGTCCTAATTTCAGTTTTCATTCTTGAATATAAAAAAATAATTTTTTTTCTTATTTGGTGATTTGAAAAAATTCATACTTTCTTTTATGATATAATGAATTTACAATTATTGATAAAATCTGATTTAGCCATTTTGGTTTCACAGAATTACAAGATTGGACAAAAGCAATTATTCAGTATCTTGGTATCTACAAAAGAATTATTGAAAGCCACAATGTTTAAGTTAGTGACTTTTTTTTTAAATAACCTCCAACCCCACAAAAAAAATGAATTTTATTTTTTGTAGTTTTGAAAATGATCATTTTTAAACAAATACACTGAGTTAATAGATGAAACTAAATAAAATAAAGAGTTTGATTCCTTGTTTCTTTTAAAAATCCTATACACCCACACAGTATATATATATATATATATATATATATATATATATATATATATATATAATGACCACTTTAGTGAATGAGGTCCTGTACAATTCAATTATCAGCTATTTTTCCTTCCCAAAGCAAATTGTTTTAATTCATAATTGATTGTTAGCTCCTTATCTTATTATTATTAGTAGTGAATAATTTCATCTGTTTTCAGTAAAAACAACAAAAAAAGCAATGTGATTTAATGTTGTTGTTGTTGTGGTTGTCAGCAGTTTGATGTTGGCAGGAGGGATTAGCTAGACAGAGGAGAAGAATCAGTCAACAGTGATAAGACAACATACAAATAAGAGCCATTCACTTTCCACAAATTCAGTAATGGTTCTCTTTCTTCACTGTTTTCAAGAGAGAAAAAGCAAAAGATTTTGGGTCAAGATTCCTATTCAATTGTCATAGATTTCTTGTTTCTCTTGACTTGCTTATTAAAGTTCTATTAGCATTGCGCAGTGCAGTAATGACATTTTAGTCCGTAGTAGATTGACTGCAATGATTGGCTGTTCCTCCCCAAGTTTGATTGTACATTGGCTAGCTCTCAGGGGAAGTGTGAAATCTATCTTACATCAGCCACCAGTGGCTGGTGAAGAGCTCATTTCATTCCAGGTAATGATGTGAGTGCAACATTGGTCGACCCTCTCATCAGCAGGTCAAGAATAGCTCCTACATTTGTTGTCCCCAGTGATGAACAGAGTGTTATCCTGGAGAATTGAACCAGCAAACATTATTTTGGAGTAATCGATGTTCTTCTGCTGAAGGAGGAGGAGGAGGAGGAGGAAAGAGGAGGTGTGGAGGCATGTTTAGTCTGGTTGGTAGGTCGGTCTCTTGAGCCAACGTCACTGCAGCAAATCCCAGAGGCTGGTCAGCACAAGAATAACATTCTACTGGTTGTTACTTTTAAGGAAATGAAAGAAGAGGAGAAAACATAGGGAAAGGGAAGAATGGTTAAACGTCACTGTGGAGCTAAATTATTTCTCCTCTGTTATCCAATGGCTTCTTTCTTTTATAGATACTGGAATAAAGAAAAAAAAAGACAAATGAAAAAAAATGTATTCATTACTGGCTAAAACTTTTTTTTTTTAAATTTGGGTTAATTTAAAAAACTTATGTATGAAAAAACTATTATAAAGTTATACTAGTGACTCTTTGAGGCAAAAGCAAATTTTATTGAATTTTTTCAGCACTCTTTATGCAAACAGATACAATATGAGTTAAAAACAGACATAAATTAATCTATCAAAACAGTTTTATTTATTCAATCAAAAAAGTAACTGAAACAAATACCATAGTCCATTTATTGTGCATATTCTCTTGATAAGCAAAATGCAATTAATGTACATTTAGCATCACTCAATTCACTTATGAATAATACATACTGATTGGTTAAAAAACAGAAAAAATGTAAATTCCCAACTCTTACCAATAAAGAAAGATACAAACTAAAACAAATGTGTATACATAATTTCTAGATTCTAAAAATTTCAATGGACATATGTTTTAATGATAATTAATAATATAAAAAAGATTAAATAGCAATAAAAACATCCATAGATGTTAGCTATAAAGAGCTATCTGAAAAATCACTAAGGCACTTGAAATAACAGAAAATGACTAAATTGAAAGGCAGTAACATTGGTCAACTTGGTAGTATTTCAAAGAAACCAAATACAAATTTTTATTACTTTCCTGTTAGTGCCCATATTTTGTATTTAAATTTTCTCCCCAAATCAGGTCAAAGCTAAATATAGTCACTGTACACAAACAATGTACAAAATCAGCTAACCTTTGTTATTTTTCTCGAGTATTTGATTATAAAAATCTTAAAGCAGAGATAGAAAAGCTCTAAAGAATAGCATTACTAACTATAGAGTTTGATACAAGAATACTTTATATTGAAAAGCCATTGTTACTGTAAAAACTGAATTATCTGAAGAATTAAACTGATAAAAGAAAACTTACTGTTAATAGCCTACTTTGGCTGCTTGAGAATAGGTGTCACCTGGGATTAATCCTTGTTGAATCTTTTGATGGCAAGGATAAGTATTGCTGGTAGCATTAACAGATGAAGCCCAGTCCTTTAGACAACCATAGCCCACTGCACTGTGTCTACCAACATATTGGTGTAACCATGGTGATGATGTAGAAGACTTCACTACAGGGACTGGGATACTGCTCATTACAGGTTGCTGCTTCTCACATGATCTGTAGAAAACATAACAAAACCTTGACAATTATTGGCACCAGTCAACCAAATATACTGCAGATATATTCAAATTACTAAAGGTGTAAAATTTTAATTTTTGTATATGGAAAATATGCATATAACAGACCTAGTAAATATAGCAAGATAAACTTTTTTTTCAGTCCAAGTAATTAACTATACATAATTTATCAACAAATCAGTTGAAATCTAATATTTAATGATTGAAACAAAGAATTTGGCATAAACATCTAATAGCTTTAATAATAACTAATAATTAGTTTTGTTTTATCATTTATAGAGATCAATATATCATTTGTCAAGAGGTTAAACATGAAGCATGTACATACACAATTATGTCATTAATCATTGATATAATAAAGTTATATCACGAAGAATTCTATGGCTATCACTGAACATGTCGATCAAAGTTTATTTTAGTCTATTTGATCTGAGGTTAACTTAATCTCATTTGATCCATTTATCCTTTTGAATAATGGTCTACTTTGAATGCATTGCTTTGATCCTTTAAGTAAAGCAATCATTTATAGACAAGCTTCTTCATTACATTAACACTCTGACTGCAGCTGCCTAATAATACATACATAAATAATAAATTTACTTTTCACAAAGAAGGCTTTTTATATTTTTCATAATAACCTATTTTCCCTTAGCAGCCTTTCAAGGTGTATCTTTGTCTTAAATGTTAATGAAGACTGTATAAACATATCACACCATCTGCCACAAAACAAGTATTTCTTTCTTACTGCTCACCACTTATAGTCATACCATGCTAATAAAAACTATGGATTCTATTTAGCAGTAAATATTCACTTGACATCGATTAATATTCTGATGCTAACATTATATGCATTTATTTTTAATTATTTTTTATATTACTTAAGTTTTGGTAGAAGTTGATAATTTACTAAAAAGTAATTGATTTAAATATAAAGCTTATACATATATATGTGTGTATGTGTGTGAAATATATATATATATATATATATATATATATATATATATATATATATGTGCAATTTATTATATATATTATTTATATATTATATATGCATGGTACTTATTGGAAAGTGCTCATTATCACTGATAGAGCTAACATATTTAGTTGGATTGATGTGAGTTTAGACACTGATTAATTTTAAATTTGATTTATATAGGGTTGCAGGTTGGTGTTTTTATGGAAGTCAGAGGAAAATTTGTTGTCAGGAACACTCATACATGCATCATACATACATGCCCTGAACACTCATTGTCGTATGCAGGCACACACGGAGCTCACCCACGGAACACAAGCATAAATGTATGTGAACAGTATGGGACTTGGTATATATACGTATATATGTGTTGTTGTGTACATACGTATGCATTTGGTTGCTGTATTCATTGAATTCAACAACACATATATATGTATATATACCAAGTCCTATACTGTTCACATCTTTATATTTATGTGAGCTCCGGTGGGTGAGCATGCATGTGCGTGTATGTCTGCATACATCAATGAGTGTACAGGCATGTATGTATGTTTGCATATGTATGAGTGGTGTGCCGACAACAATTTTTCTTCCCACTTCCATAAAAACACTGATATACGCAACCCTATATAAATCCAAAATTTAAAAATTAATCAGTTTTTCTGACAATTGCAAAAGTGTGAAACCCAGGGTCACAAACTCACATCAATCTAACTAAATATATATATATATATATATATATATATATATATATATATATAGAATAGATAGGTTGGTTAATAAAATGAAGGACAAACAAAAAGACACAATATAATCAGTACAATAAATATTTATTAAACATCAACCATTTGACAAATATGAAACACAGAAAGAAAGGTTTTAAATTCAGAATTTTCAGACATGCCTGTGTCCTTTATCAATGATCCAAGGAACAAAAAACTCAACTCTGAGTTTCATGCACAAAGTAATTGTCAGGTGAGGTTAAAAAGTTTTCTGCATGAAACTCAGATTTGTGCTAGTGTTGAGGAAAAATGTATATTTACTATTAATATAAATTATAAATTATAGCTCTGTTATTACACATCAAGCGCTATTAGCATCAGTACTCAACATGTAAAAACATATATATATATTAAGCTCTTTATGAATTAGGGTTTTATCAAATAGTATTTATAAAGGCATTACTACAAATACATTTTATTTAAAATAACCATATGGCATTCCATATGATAATTTTTAATTTGGAAATTAAAGTATTTCATTTTCAAGAAAAAGGAAAAATCTGGTTAAATATATTTAAATTTTCATAACTTTTAGACAGAATTCTGAATTTATTATGTCAGCAATAATTTGTTTTAAATGTTGATATAAGAAGTTTAAACTAAGAACTGAGCGGAATTATACCAAAACAAGGACAATAAAAGAAGAAAAACAAAACAGGTCATTGGTAGTATTTTACCAATGACCTGTTTTTGTTTTTCAGAGAACAAATAAAAATAACAAAATGGTTGAGCATATAGAAACAGATTTAACAATGATCAATCAAAAATGTCCAATAGGAAAATATTTGGGCCATCAGGAAATATAACATGCATGAAGACTATTCAAATTGTAAAATCTTTCATTTCACATTATGTTCAAATATACCAATATTACAAAAGTGAATACATACATACTGTACCTCACAAATCATGTTTTTTTAACAATATCTTAGCCTTTTAAATTGTTTATTGATTTTGATTTATTTGTAAGAGAATTAAAAATGAAATCTATCCTGCTAAAAGTTAATTTTGAAAAGATTTACTAATTTTATAAGACAACAATTTTAATGCCAGTAGACCTGAAAAAAAAACCCTATATGAATGTGTTGATTTAATATGAGCACAAAAAACAATGAATCCAAAACACTTTATGTAATATAATTAATATCATTGTTTTATTTTTACGAATATTCATGAACATTTGGCATTATTTTCCAAAATTATTTGGATTAAATCTTACCTGTTGTGGTTGGCTTTTTCTGACAGCTGAATGACTGAAGCTGGAGTTGAGCCTGCAATTGGACTTGATGTGGACAAGCTGCCTGCCATGAGCCCAGAGGATACTTTATCATTTGTGTTCACATCAGATATCACTGATTTGTGCTGCTGGGTGGGTGCCTCTGACCGGTGCTCCAACTGAGAATTGGAGACCAAATTCTGTTTGAGGGCTTGTGCTGATTTAACACATGACGTCCATGGTAATGCAGATGAACCGCTGGTGATTACATTTGTCCGCTTATAAAGATTTGAGCCACTGTTACTGTGAGGCTCTGAGTTATGATCTGAATGTGAATTGCTTAAATGTGAAGATGCATGGCCAATATTTTTGATGACTGTATTGTGAGGAAGAATAGTGTGACTGTCTATAGAATTAGAAGAGTTTTTCACTTTTGTATCAATGACTGATGTTTTAGTTGTGACTGTCTGTTGTTGTTGTTGCTGCTGCTGTTGTTGCTGCTGCTGTTGTTGTTGTTGTTGTTGCTGCTGCTGCTGCTGCTGTTGTTGTTGTTGCTGCTGCTGCCCACTGTCATTTATAGAAGTTTTATATATGGAGGTAGAAGGTAAGCAGGCTGGTGAGGATACAGCTCCAGGTGCAATTGATGTCTCTGCACAGCCAACCAGTGGTGAACCATTAAACACAGCAGCAGTTGAACGAAACTCCATTGGATCAAAGTTTCCATTGATTCTAGTAGAGAGTCTATCATTGCTATATTCGTAACCATATTTACGATAGTCATTATCATAGCGAGAAAATTCATCTCCAAAATGGACTTTTTTGCTGAGATCTATACTGTAACCATCAAAACCATACTTTGGTATATCATAGCCATATTTCGACTGGGCAACCAGATCTGCATAACTGTTACTGTGATAGGACAGTGGATGTTGATATTGCCTATGGTCGAAATAGTAACCATTTGAGTAACAGTGTTTTTCTGAGAATGGATCTGTTGGGGAATAAACAGAACCAGGCAATGGTGTATAGCCATGAGATCGGTAAATATCCGAATCTAAGGCAAAATTGTTACCAGTGTAAGAGTAGAAGAGATCTGGCTTCAACTCAGCACTGTCACAAGGGCCATAGCCATTAAGACCAGAAAAGGAAGCATAACCATTCAGTGCTGGGAAAGCATCCCTGTAAGTTGTTGCCTTCCGCTTACGGCTTGCTTGCAAATAGTCCCGTACTTGAGATTTCTGTTTCTTGTTTTTAGTTGTTTTGGACTTTGTGACAAAATCATCTTCAGGAAAACCAGAGCCAGAACAAATGTCCAGATCCAGTAATGGGTATGGCAGCTTGAACTCATTTCCACGTTTACCAAACAGATCTTGTCCTTCATCATCCCTGAAGAAAAAGAAACAAAAATTAAGAAGAGGCAACATATCAGAATGTCCAAAACAAAGACAAAATTTAAGGTAAAACATCAATTACTTACTTTATTTTAATTTCATTGTTTTAATGCATAAAAATGTATTAAATATGTACATGTATATACATTAATATGGTCATATTACAGAATCAGTATACTTACAATGTATTTATTCTTATGAAAAATAGAAATTTGCTAATTAAGTTTGTTGTAATTGTGATGTAAACATTACATAAAAGTTATCACATATATATCTGTACTAAACATATTCAAAATGAAAGGTATGATCAGTAATTAAAAATAACTTAAATTTATAATTAAAAGTTTTTCATATGTAATCCTTTCAAGAAAATCCATTTATCAAAGTGATGACGTAACATTGGAAAAGATTAACATACAGAGTTTATGAGATCATAAATTAGACACTAAAATGAGCAGAAAGGCATTATTCTTTTTTTGTGGAGATTGTCAGAATAAGCACTAGCACTCAACCAGAAGAAAAGAGCTTATCATCATCTTATGAATTTGAGAAACAACACAGACCTAATCATTTTGGGATTTGTTTTTTTTTATTTAACTAAGAAATTTGTTTTCTGAAGCATACAAAACTATTTTCTGTGCCTCCCATTCACTGACATGCTGTCATCCTTGAATATTTGCAAAACCCATTTGTTCAGGAAGTGGGAAAAGGAGCAGCATAGTCTTGATTTTAAATAAAAACAAAGTGACAGTTTTGCTTACGTGAGTTGTCTGTGAGTGCAGATGACAAAATCTGGTTTGCTGTTTTTATAAACCACTTTACAACTGGACTGCAACCACAGCCAGCGCAAATCCTTCATGATCCACCGATAGGCTATTAGGCCAGAGCTGCCAGTCTTGATCACTAGAGCAAAGAAAATAAAACCATCCAAGTATTAGGTATACAGAAAATGAATGACTAAAGGAAAAGCCCACATTTCTTATTTTTAAATTGCTATGAATTAATTATAATAATAATACACTTGACTAGATCAAAGTAAGCTGATGAGTGAAAATTTGCTTTGTACAAATTACAACTTTAGTTTTGATAATTTTAAATATTCTTATATTTTCAAAAATGAAAATCTAAAGTGCTTTCTATACTTTTTAAGATATTTTCTTTTATTTATGATTCATCTCAGTATTTGAAAAATCCAGTATCAAAGATTTTTTAAGTTTATATATATATATATATATATATATATATATATATAGATAGATAGATAGATAGATAGATAGATAGATAGGAAAAAGAAGTTGAAATTGCAACTGGAGTCTTTAAGAATATTTATTTAGAGTAACTTTATTGAGTTCACAGTTCTATGAATTTCCAAAGTTAAAATGAAATGGAGAGACTTGTGGAGCAAAAGTTGGAATCAATTGTTGTAACAATTTCAATTTTTCCTCAAAATCTTTTGATGGATAAACATTTAAATTTTATAACGACTCACTTCATTAATACGCCCTTACTCAAAATGATGTTTGGATCATATCCATAAAATAACTCTAATTCATGTACAATGACAATGCTTAAATATGTGTATATGCAATCATTGCTAAATCAAAATTTAACCTATTTTTTTGTGAGTTAATGGTCAAATACTTACATTCCTGGTGGGCAGCGGCAAAGTATGAAAGATCATCAGGATGTACTAAATCATAGCCAGATTTAGTGACCAGTTCTCTATCAGAATAACCAAACATCATTTTACCCCTGGAAAACAAATGCTTACATAAAAATTGGTTCTTTGTTAATTTAGACAAAAAAATCAAAAGAATAACTCAAATAATTTGTGAGATAAAGTGATTCATTTTTAAATAAAAGAAAGAAAAAATGAATTCTACATGAAACTGGATCACAAGAACTCAGAAACATACTGAGTAAGATTTTTTACCAAATAAAATTACCTACTTTATTGATAATTAATATGATTCTTATATGCATAATATGCAATTTGAATTTATTTTCAGTGTATATAAGAGAGATAGAAAAAAATGTGCATATATATGCATGTGTGTAGACATGCCTAGAATTCTCTTTCTTCTCAATCAAATGAAATGGATCCCATTAGGAAAAATGTGAGTATATATATTCAGATCTACTGAAAAAATACTACATTGTAGCACTGATAAATATATATTCACCAAATCTCCTACTTTTAAAGAACAACACTAGCATGAAAATTTATGAATTATAAATTGTAAACAAAAAATGAAATTCATATAGACAACCCTAGAAATATGAAAAATTCTTCATTGTTAATATTTCAAATAATACATATGCTCTAGAGTATTTTCCAGTTATTTTTTTCATCTCTCTCTGATGATAATTTAGGCATACCTTAGTAAGGCTTAAATCAGTGTCCAGGTTGTTAACAGAAATAAAAGTAATAATAAACATTAAAAGCTAGCAATTCTATTTTTCTTGATTTTGCCACTAATATATAATTCACATTACACCTATGTGTTTCTATGATCATTTATAATTAAAACACCTTCAGTATAGTAAGCATTCTATATCAACAAAAATTATCTTTCTTCTCAATTTTCCTAACCTGTGATCAATATACAAAATATCAGAATCTGTAGATTTTTTGTAGTCTCATTTATTATTGATCATTAGAAGCTATAATAATCTTTTAATCAAATCATTTACTATCTGTATTTTGTTTTTTTAGACAAAAAGATATTTACAAAAAAAATAGATATAAATCTCAGAGTTGAAATCCAGGAAATATGAGGCAGTTGATATTTGTCAAAAAATTTTCTATGTTGAAAAAGCAGGTTTCTTATACATACGTATTTTTTCAAAAGTTAAAGCTTATCAGTTTTGAATAGGGCTTTGATATAATTAATATGTTAAATAATAGTTTAGCAGACTATTATTTTTTAGAGAAGTGTATCTCTGCTTGGACTTCCTGAAGTTGACCTTAGGGATCAGATATGAGACAAAATAAAGGAAGTCAATTTTGATTGGCTGAGCCAGTGTGGGAATGATAGATAGAGAAAGGTTTTTCGGGGAGTCGAGTTTTAACAGTCAAGCAATGTAGACATTGACTTTCATCTCTGGAAACAGCTTCACAGTGGAGAGAGAGCAACCCCAATGTAGAGATGTATTTGTTGACATTAATAAAATAGCTAAGTTAAAATTCAATTTGTTGATGTCTTCTATCTCTGAATCAAAACAGCTAGCAATCACTGGCCATAAGAAAAGAATACAACTTTATTATGGAATTGACCCAAATCACCCAAGACCCTCCCCTTCAGCATGAGAGGGAGATATACAATAAATACAAGGAGTAAAATATACAAGTTTCTCTACAAAAGTATAAAATGATTTATTTTTATAAATCATTTATTTTTATAAAATCTCTAGAAATTTAGTTTATTTTCCATTTGAGATTATAAAGTTTTAACAATTTGAATATCTGTTATAAAATAAACATTATTTACATTAATTTATAATAGTTTGATTGTCAAATTCACTGTTTATTAAAGGACATAAGTGATTTAACTAAATAATTATGTTGATGTTAAAAGAGTAAAACAACACTTAAAGTAATACAGAAGAAGATAAATGTAAAAAGGACTGTTAAATCAGCTTTTTCTTTCCTGGATGAGAAAGATTTACAACCTTATTTTATCTTTCAGATAGATATACAATTCAAGAAAGACACTAAAAATGATTCCTTGTACATTTCATACAAATAGTCATCATCAAGTAATAAGAATGAAAACATATTCAAGATTTTGTAACACCTTTTCAAAGACAACTTAGAAATGTAATTCTTTTTTTTAAGAACATTGTTTTAAATTACCTGCTCTGAATTATGAACTGCTTTTTATCCCTTAAAATACTATTAAGAGCTGTGCTGCTACTGCTATTCAAGGTTGGACACCTTGCCTGATGGTCTAATCTTCTCCCACCCAAAAGAAAAATATCATCACATTACAGTCAATTACACTATAGTCTTGCACTCTAATCATAATCTGTTAATAGAAGTGAAATGTCTCCTGTGCTTAATAATCACAATGGAAATGAATGAGTTTATTTATGAATGAGGTGATTGTTAAAGACTTAAAAGAATTTTACACATATGAAGGTTAAATTGATTTTAGTTAAAAAACATAAATATTTTGCTTGATTTTCCAATTTTTCTTCTCTAACATGGTTCTAATTTCTTACATGATGAGTAAGCATAAGGAGTAAAAAAAACAAAAAAACAGGGATTTGGTACAACTGTTTTTACTGACTCATGTATCAAATAAAATATTTTTTAAATATAAAATCCAAAAGTTTCTATATCTTGCACTTCAGAATTCATTTTACTATACAATTAAATGACCTATATTGACCAATTCTGACCATTTATAAAACTAATTCTTTGAGGAAGCTTTAATAAAAATGAAACATGTTAGATTGATAAAAATTTCCTATTTGTTATTTATCTTATCATTATATCGGATTCCGATCTATATTTGATCTCAATTCATTAAAACTAAATCGTACATATTTTCATATTTGAAAATCTTTTACATAATTAATTAGCAATTATAATGTGAAAGTAATAGGAAAAAATGAATTCAAAGAAATAAAGAATATATTAAAATTAGATTTTTAAAGATTTTTCATTTCACAAATATAGTTGTACTTCCAAGGAACAAGAATTGATTGATTTACCTGCTATCCATGGATAAAGGAGAAAGGTCCATCTTATGTTTTGATTTGAATGTGAGATCTCTTGAAGGAATGTCAAACAAGGAAAGTGGTCCAAATGGACAACAGGTTGCAAACAATGCCAACATAGGTTCCTCTGATTTGAGAGCTTGCCCATGAAGAATACGAATCCAGCCACTGATTTCTAATGTCTGTTAAAAATTATGGTAATAATTTATATTAAAAAGGTTTGCAAGTATTCAAAGCAAAGAAGTTTCCATTTAGTTTGGGGTTTCTTGACTATATTTATTTTGTTTTTTTAGTCAGAATCATCTCAAGCAAAGCAGTAATGCCACTAAAACACAAGGGGTTACAGAGTGTAGAAGAATTAGGAACAGAAACATTAATGATAAGCAGAAAGAGTAGAGAATATTCAGGTGGACAGTAGATAGCGATTGACATTGCATTTAAGTTTTTGCAGATTAAAGTTGGCTGGAAAGCATGGAGCCAGAAGGGAGTTCCATAAGCAAGAAGTGTGAGAGAAGAAAATGTTAGCATAGAATTTATGGCTACATTTAGCCAGCTCAACTATAAATTGATATCTTGTTGCCAGTTTAGTCCAGTGCTGCACTTAAATTCAAAAACTCTAGTTTCTATAGCAAAGAGCTCATTCAAACAATTACCATGAAAGTATTTATAGAAAAGACATAGAGAAGCAATCTTACTGTGGTGGGAAAGTGACAGGACCAATAATATTGCAGATTCTTTTTGGATCTTATCAATGAGCTCAAGGTAAATAGCAGGGGCACTGGACCATATTTCGCAGCAATATTCTAAGCATGGATGAATGGTACAGTTATAAATATGTAATAATATAATAAAGGCTTCAAGAATATGAATCCCACTTTTTTTATAGTTAAAGTATGTATTATTAAACATATCAATTCGAAGTCCTGACATTTACAGCAGATAAGGTTGAATGTTTTGCTCGGAAATTGTCTTCCAACTCAACACATGACTCATCTGGATTACCCACACCTGATTTTCCCCTAAAACTGAGGCTCTACTGAGTAATATGCGTATAATCCTATCACTAGTCTCAGACATCATTTCTAAAATAGACTCTCATAAGGCAAGTGGAGGTGACAGGATCCCAGTCATTGTCCTAAAGAAATATGCTCCTGAGCTGGCTCCAGTTCTCTCTAAACTCTACAACTATTGCCTAGCTGCTTCCTGTTTGTTGGAAGTCCTCCTCTATAGTCCCTGGTTTTAAGAACTCTAGAGAACCTTCTGACCATTCTAATTATCACACTATTAGTCACTTACCACTTTTTGGCAAAGTATTCAAGATTTAATCAATGCTGAAGTAGTTAAGCATCTTACTTCTCACAATCTACTCTCTGACAAACAATATGGCTTCCATTTTGCTTGATCTACTGCTGACATGCTTATAGCCATCACTGAATATGTATATCAAGCTCTTGGTAATAACAGCAAAGCTTGAGCTGTGGCACTAGATATCTCAAGGACATCTGACAGGGTTTGGCATGATGGCCTTCTACATAAGCTTCAAGGATATGGTATTACAGGATTTAATCCAATCATTCCTATCAAATCGTGAAATGAAGGTTGTCCTGAACAGGCTCACTTCCAGATCCTTTCACATGAATGCAGGTGTCTCACAAGGCTCTATCCTGGGTCCTATACTGTTTCTGATCTTCATCAATGATCTCTACTGTGTTGTGCCAGAAGGTTTTTCTCATCAAAGTCTATTTTGCACATTTACCAATCTACCATTCGGCCATGTATTGAATACAGTTGCTATATTTGGTCTGGTGCTCCTGCTATTCATCTCAAGGTTCTTGACAAAATCTAAAAAAGAATCTGAAATGTAATTGATCCTAACTTGGCATTTTGACTTCAGTCACTTTCTCACAGACATGATATGGCTGCCCTCTGTCTTTTTCACTAATATTTTCATGGCAACTGCTCTGACAATCTTTTTTTCCTTGGTGCCCCAACTACATGAACTTAAGTATTCTACTTGATTAGCATCTAGGTCCCACCCTTTTATTGTCAAAATAGTTAAATATAACCACCACTTCTACTCCAACAGTTTCTTTTCTTGCACTTCCCAACAGTGAAACTCCCTTCTGTTTACTTGCTTCCTTGAAAATTACAACCTTCAAAAATTTAAATGCAATGCAAATAGCCATCTTCTTTTGTCTTGAACTCTGTTCATTTTTTATTCTTTTCTCAATTCCCCTATACCCAGTCTTTTCTATCACTTTCATTCTCTGTAAACCATGCATACTAGTGGCATTACAACCTTGCTTGAGGTGAAATGATTAAGATAATAGAAAAATCTAGAATGCATTCTTACTAAATATTTTGGATTAGCCAGTTTTAAAAGATTTACTAAGATACAACTATCTTATCAGATATATCGTTATATATTATTTCTGTCTGAATTTCTGGGATCAGCACTTATCATTATTTACTTGTGAACTAGATGAGGACAATAGTCTGCATGTAAATAATTATACATTACTCTGATCTATCAATATAAATCTACAATTAATATAATAATTTGATCCAAATATGTAATTTGCATAAAATGATATTTGAATTAAAAACAATGATTTTTAAATTATATTAAATGAATTCCTTTTTTTAATCGAATAATTACAATTTATGAAAACCAAGATTGTACTTGTAAAATGGAAATCATGATTAAAAAGAACTTAAAATTTCTTAATGCTTTTTAAATATATTTTTTATTGATATAATAAATATAAAGAATATTAAGAATAGTGACAGTCATACTTACAATGAAGCCTGAGGTGTTGTCTAGTAAGCAGCGAAACCTTACAGTGAAAGACCTGTGCAGATAGTGGTTGTTTTCTATGCAAAAAAAAAATTAAGGTAATATCCAATTAAGGCTAATTAATCCAATAAAAAAAATAAAACTAATTTAGTAAATAGATAAGATGAAATATAAATTAATCATAAAGAATTCAAAAACATTTACACAAGGCTGGCATTATGAGGTGTGGGGCTCAATTGTGAAACAATTTGGTGTGCTTCAATTTTCAACCAAGCTCTTTAGGACCATAAAAATATAAATAAAATGCAAGGCCATCTTATGTACAGGACCCAATTGAAAGCAACTGATCCAATCAACTTAGGACCAGCACTGCTTTTGAACCTGATCTATATGCACAAATATCAGTGTATATATTTTTATTAAGATAAAATACAATAAGCAAAGAAACATCATTGTTAAGCAGCTAATTTAAATAATCAAGTATGGTAGCAATACAATGGTGACATTTGTATTTTTTTTTAAATCATACAAGAAAACCATGAATGATATTTCTATCTTTCTTTCATGTCTTACATGTTATGCATTTTGATTTTTTAATTGATATGTATTGTTTCAGTATTAGTAGTAGTAGTGATACATGTTGTGCAGGATTTGTCTCACTTCAATGGTCTCTTTGAATTGAAGACAAGACAAATTCACTAATTCAGGGCTAATGTAAATAATTCTGTTACAGAATGACTAACTTTGGTGTAGTTTTGTGCAGTTTTAATCATTCAGAATCTCTACTCACAAAAAAAAAATGGTTGCTGGAATAGATTTTATTTTATAGTCTGTAAGGATAGAATCAAATGATAGCAACAAATTATGAAAACACTTTGCTTTTGTTGGATTTTATGTTTTATTTATAAAAATCTACAGACATTTATACTTGGTGCATAGTGAAAAATTGTTTAAGGGAAAGAAAAAAGAAAGAAATTTTTGATTGAAATATTAGTTTTCTATTTTCCTAAATGTAATTATAAAAAATCTTGGTATAAATTCATGACTGTTTTGAATTAAATGTTGAAGATTTATTACTGCCTTTTTATATATTTATTCTTATAAAATATTTGGCAGTGCTAATAATTGGACAATAATTTTATATATATTTATAGAATTTGAGTAGAAATTGCCTGTTTTGGTAAAGACATTCAAGTAATTAATAAAAAATATTTTATCCTAGAAATCAAATACAATTCCTTGACAATTTTTCCAAACTTTTAAGGTTAGTACAAATCCTGAATGCATCTTTTCTTTATCATTAGCTATATTTTATTTCAGAGCTTTCCTTTTATTTTATGTAGAGCCATAGGAACAAAAAATACACCCACACTGGTACATACTTTGGGTCATACTGATTTAAATGAATTCACAGTCAGTGATTTATAACTTGAAATATTTCAACATCAGCTTAAGTGACACTGTTTAGAGTAACTAACAAAATTTGTATAAATAATGATGGCCAAATTTACAAATTTGCCAGAAACAAAGAACAAAAGTCAATATAATGAAAACTAACTTATCCATAGCAACAGTGGCTACACCTAACCATAAACAGAGTATAGTGTGCATAAACACAATATGTCATTTGGCTAAACAGCATAAATAATAAGAAAAACTGAATATTATGAATAGTGGATGTATCAGTGCTATATGCTCCTATTTCAGGTTAATGTTTCATGGCTTATAAACATGTTGTTGCTGATGTTGATGGTGATACTCAACCTGAAACTTTACCAAAATATTATGTTTCACTAGTATAATAAACTAATCAGCTAGTGAGTATCTGTAGGTAAGCTTTTTGAGTATGACTATTTGTCTTTCTTTGCAAAAACATCATTGTTAAGCAACTAATTTAAATAATCAAGTATGGTAATTTAATTGAAAATTAAAGAAATATTGATTGAATGTAAATGAAATTCAATGGGTAAATTATCAAAATATTAAGATTAATTTATGTGAGTTTTCATAAGTACATCAAATATTGCACTTGATTTTCAGTCCCATATTGACAGCAGGGAAATATAACATTTGAATTGATTACTCTTGTAAAATACTACTAATATACATCAAGTAAAGATTAAATAATTATATATATATATATATATATATATATACATACAGAGAGAGAGAGAGAGAAAGTGTAGATATTAAAAATAGATACTGTTTTATTATGATCATTAAAATATGTATAATAAATACATATTTGACAATGTTTTATTTAATATATGATTATATACCAAAGATATAAAAACATTACTAGTATATGTGGCATAAGACCTAACATTTTTATATTTTCAAACAATTCCAAATGATGACTTATTTTATTTGTATACTGCATTAATATATTTGAGAATAATTTTGTACAGAGCTAATGAATATAATGAAATATTGACCAAAAATTATATTACACAATGACCAATATTTGAAAAAATTATATAAAAAATATAATAATGTCCTGTCCCAAATTTATTGTGCACATTAAAAATGTTAAGTTATAACCAACTTACCAGGTAGCATGATTTCATGCAATGTAATATTTGCTTTATCAGGGGGAAGACTGGAGTTCCACAGCAGCTGTCTTTTGAATTCTTCTCGATCTTCAGAATGGATCAGTTCCATAACACTTTGATGTATAATGTCAGACTTGAAAAAACAAAATAAAAATCAGATGGACACAATGAGAGATACAAAAAATCCATGGACCTTCACTAGTTTTAAAAGAAAATGCTGTAATTTATCAGAGATTGCACTATTCTTGCTTATATTATCTATTTTTACAATATGAACATAACAAGAAAAGGAATAGATCAATTAATTTAGTTTAAAAAAAGACAGATCTTCAAACTAATATCACTATAGACATAAAAATAACATGCAGTAAGTGAAAATTAGCATATACCAACCTGATGGAAGCCAAGATATTGTTCCACTGTACGTGAAGCAAAGAAAACTTCTCCTTCACAAGTTACCACAAATAAAAAGCCATAGAGAGCCTGCAAGGAAAACATTTTTCATTATAGAATTAAAATGACTGGCATCCAGATAATGGTACAATTTCAAGAACAATGAATATAGCCACGTATACATTTCTTCATACATAATTGACAGGGATTTTGCTTTCTCATCTAAAAAACTTTTTGTTTCTTTCTGTATTGTTTTAAATATTCTTAATTAGTATTTTTGGTAATATGAAATTTTCCTTTATATTCCTTGACATTTTTTAGAAATTCAAAAAGAGACATTCATTAAAGATATGATAGCATTGCTCATCTACAAGTAAATACAATAAATGCAAATTTGTGAGATGCTTTGGGTCAGTATTTTGTGTTTAAAATATTGAGGAAGAAAGAATGTCTGTAAAAAATAAGTTCTGATCTGCATTAACTTTTCTTTTAGTTTCAATTGAAATAGGAATTAAAAAAATATACATTTATCTACAAACTCTACTTGAGTAAATTTCAAACAAACAATGTACTATTTATTGTAAAAAAAAAAATTAAAATAAAAAAGCATATCTCAAAAATGTATTTTTTCTATTGCTGCATATAAAATGCATCAAGAGAATGTTTTAATTATTAATATACCTGTAAGATACTGTCTCCTTCAGAAAAACCAGGTTCTGGAAATAGATGAGATCGATTCAGAAGATGACTTTCAATTGAATATCGATCAGGTAACACAGCTGGAATAAAAATATAAAAATATTAAAATAAGAAACAATATTAATGTACAATAGGTACATGATTTTACGATGATCCTAAAATGTTCAATTTAGTAAGAAAGCAGGCTGTATTAGTATGTGTTTAGATTTGGACAAACATTACTTACAATTGAAGAAACATAATGGTTAATCAAATATAAAAATCACAAGAAAGTACAGCGATTAGAACATATTATTTATAAGTACTTCTCTTTTGTCACAGTAAATTTCATCTAATAAGTTTATGCTAATAATTTTCAAAGAATATTTTGACATTTTAAGGATTACCTATGGCATAGCAAGTTAGAAATCATATAATAAAACCTATGATAAATGTCATATTAATTGATATGAAGAATCTGATGCCTTTTATATACCAAAATATGTGAAAACTGCAACAAATTTTTTAACATGCTTTAAATGCACATCAGAGAAAAAATATGTACAAATTTTGTGAAGGTGATAATAGGAATTAAATTAACTTTATATCTGACTAAAGGAAATTGCTTTTTTTTAAAAATGACTGGTTGATTTGTTTTTTTCATAATACTTTAACCAAAAATGATAATAATATAGACTAATACATTATATAATGTTGCAGCCATGATCAAATCACCATCTGGAATGATGATTTAACATACTATTATCTATTGAAACCACCATGTAACATATACAAAAGGTTGTCAAAAAGTCCTCAATTTGATTAAGAAACCCTACCCACCAAAATTTTATGTCTGATCATTTCATAAAATTTTGGGAATGGATCAAGCTGAGAATTTTTCAGCACAACCTCATATTTTAAATAAAAAAGATTGTATTGAGTCATTATGAACAATATTTTGAATAGAATTCAATGTCATCATTTAAAGATCAGTGTAAAATATTCTGATTAAATTTTTGTTAATACTAGATAAATATAGATAAATTTGACAACTTGAGAAACTTGAAATGAAAGAAATATAAAATATAATGATTAAAAATTAATAAAAAGGATACATCAAAATATCAAAATTCCTGAATTAATTTACCTTGAATGTTTACTAATTGGTAACAAAAATTAATTCTTGAATAATTCATAAGAAAAAGCATAAAAAGGTCTAATATTAAAAGTTTATTTTTCAGCATTTATTGACATTATCATTTATCTTGTTATAAAATAGAAATTACCTTAAAACTGATTTTGCTATCATGTTCTACCAATAATTGACAGTTTCTACTTTGTTGCAAAAGTTTGTTAACAATATATACACACTTATAAACAAACATATAAAGAAATTGTTGTAAGAAAACATATAACATATAAACATATAAAGAAATTGTTGTAAGAAAATGTACTGAAGCAACAGTTTGAAATCCCAAATCCTTTTTTGGGGTTAATATTTAAAGCAATAAAAAGTTATGGCAAAGAACACTGCTATAAAGTAATAAAGAAACAATGAAATGTGAAATATTTATTTATATTGCTACTATTAGCCTCACAAATACAAATCTTTATATTAACTTCCCAATAAACAAGCATTATATCGTCCACACAAAAATCTCTAGAATATTCAATAGCCCTTGAAGAAGAGTGACCCATAGAAAATTACAGTCAAGCATAAAATAATATGGGTGGTAGCAACATTTCTGTTTTCCCAACAGACAAAAAAGATTTGCCTGCAATGCTCACAGAGCTGGCGGTATGACAAATGACATTCTATAACTGGGGAAAAGTGTCCAGGCTCAGTGAACTTTGTAACCTGCAAGTCTCCTTGCAGGAAGTGGGAGAAAGTGGCTGTGATTGATCAGATCACAATCTCTAACATAATAACATATTACCGGTCCAAGCCTGTCGTCTTTGGGCAGATAAACAGATGAGTTTGTGGCAAAGGTATTCATTTCTATGCATCTAGAATTCATAATGTGTTGTTGTTAGTCAAAAATTGGCATTTTTCTGTTTGGGTCTATTTCATCATTCATGGAAAAAGCAAGGGAACATGAGCATAAAATAAAAAGTCTATAGACATTGGTGGCATCTCACTTGAAATGGGATGCAGATGATTGAATAGCAATGTTTGAACTATTCTCAGATGGCTACCAAGATAGAGCAATCAAGATGGGCCTAGTTGTCAGGAAAAGATGGCAATTATGAATTTACATTGAATTAAATGGTTTGTGGCATAACTGATGTGAAAATTAAATAGATCAACGATGAAAGATAAAATTTAATTTTTTAGATGATATGTTTTACAAAAATTATTTTCTATACCTATTTTTAGGACAGAATACTTGATCTAAAATTATAACTTGTTTATTTTTATTCATTTGTAAATTTTATGATTACATAACATATATGGTCAAATTTACTTTATCTAAATATCTAAAAATTTCTTATAAAATATATATTATCTAAATAATAATAACAATCAGTAATATGTCCAAATGAATTGAAAAATAAGAACATTTAGAAGACTGATATCTTTCTTAAACCTGTTAGAATATGAACTGTCAAAGAATAAATATTAATGCTCTAAACAATAAAATAGCAGTTACATTTGATACCATTTGATTTAGGAAGATATTTTTTCACATAAGACACAGTACCAAATTAAATAAACATCTATTCTCTCAGAGAGATATACAACAGAATCATAAACATTTCATAATTGTTTAACTGCTGAAATAGAATCAATTAAAATATCTTATTTAATATAAAAATATCAAAAAATGTTGATGAAAAGTAATTTTCATTTATTTAGAAATATTAATATATAGATTATAGATCTTCAATCATATAAGTTGAATATCTATCAATAGACATGAAACCATTTCAAATCACTAACTTTTATTTATTTCAAAGAACATATATTGTAACAAATTATACCTTATATAATCATTGGTATAATATTTAGTCATATTAAAGAAAATACTAAATTTAATTACTTATTGGTCAAAGAATGTCAACTAAGTCATCATTATTAGTAGTATAATTTTTACCTTAAAGAGCTGTAAATATACAAACAAATATAAAATTGGAGATTTACATAAAATTTGGTAGAGTCTAAAACAGAACCAACTTTTTATTATTGTGAAATGGTTTTATCCTCAGTTTTTCAGTCAGTTCTGCATGGTATGATTTTACAAGGAATACATAGGAGAATCATCAAGGAATTTAAATAAAAGATTATATAAACACAAAGGATATCATTCTACAAAACAACACACTATGCTCACTGTAATTAGTCTGACCATAATTTTGATTTAAAAAATGATTCTATAATTAAAAGACAAAGCAATTTACTAAGATGAAAATGTATAAAAAGTATTATAATCACCAGATCAACCAGAGTAAATTTATGTACAGGTTCTTACAACATTTTACCTTTCATTGGCAGATCATCAATTATCTCAATATTGGTTATTTAATGACAAAAGTGATGAAAACATGAGCAAAAAAACTAAATGAAATCAGTTAAACTATAAACACATAACAAATTTAAATTTTAAATTCTCAGCATCCCTTTTCCTTCATGCACATGTGTGCAAACATCAATTCAAACTTCAATTTAGTTGGACGAAATCCAAAAGGATGAAACACATCCCACTTTTTCCATTTTTTGATAGGTTTTCCTTAACATATATATATATATATATATATATATATATATATATATATATATATATATTTTGTTTAAAAGCTGCTCCAGTGGGAGGGCACTTGATTGAGTCTTCATCACAATAAGTAGAAAGAAGTAGATGCGATAGAAACTACAGAAGAACTCAAAATTGATGATTAAGTATTGCATTAATATTGAAGCTTACCTTTTAAAAGTTCAACGATAATTCTTCTGCTGCCACTTAATTTAAAGACAATTTGATGTATGTAGGTCCTTACTTTCTGTACAAGCAATTATTTTTATTTCATGGGTGACTTTTGCTGTATTTTCAATTAATTTTGATTATTCCTAAGTTATAGAAATTTTTACCGTATGAAAAAATTTGTTGCACACTGACATTTGTATTTATTATATAGATAATACATTATGTATATATATATATATATATATATAGATAAATAGATAGATAGATAGAGAGAGAGAGAGAGAGAGAGGGTGAGTGTAGACATAGGAATCAATACTGCAGTGCTGATTCTTATGTCCACACTATCTAATCTATAAATGTTCTATCTCTGATATAGAGTTCTCTTTCTCTCTACCCCCATATATATATATATATATATATATATATATATATATATATATATATATATTAATGTGAGTAAAAGTTTGTCAATTAGCTGATTGATGTTACCTTCAGCATCCTGACTGCAGTTTTTCATAGGCAGGCTTGTCTATCCACTCCTCAGGGGGTATCAGCAATTTACTATATATATTATTTTAAAATTTACTATAATTACAGAAGAAGCACACTCTTATGCTGACTTTCCCTATAAGGAGGGCATAGGTTTGAACCCTGCCAGAAGGCATATTTTCTTCATGACTCTACAAGCCAGTTGACATAAATTTACACTGTTTGAAAACCATGTATGTTTACTCAAACATGTTAACCCCTAAACATAATGTTTAAAAGTAATAAGAAATCTATCTACCTTCAGTTGATAAGAACATTCTGTAGCTTGCTTTGCTGTGATAAACTGTTTGATTATATAAAGCATAGTTATACAAATAAGTTCTGTTTTTCCTTTCAGGAATATTTAATGTTAAGTTGAATAATCTTTTAACTGATGTGACTCATATTACCCATTTGAGGCATTTCATGTTTCATGAGTTCAAAAAGTATTCAGCAGAAGCTGTGAGGAATATTTGCAATGTCTATGAATATAAAGTCTTAAGTTTCAGGAAATGCCAACAAAAATTTAATCAGTTTTGGTCAGGGTATCTTACTCTCAAATATTCTCCTCATTCTGGATGACGAACTTTGTTGATAATCAAAACATAAGCTGACAGCAAAAGAAATGGCATAACAGTTCAATATAACCCATACAACAATCATAAACCATTTCCATGAATTCAGTAAAGGGTCAAAATTTGGTCAAAGGGTTCCGTGTGATCTGAATTATACTCAACATAATTAGAGGCTCAACAGTTTTTTGCCAAGACATGCTATCATATCCAGTGAAAAATATGAGTTATGATTGAAGGAAAAACAACACTGGTACCAAAACCAGGAACACACCTGCTTAGTAGGATATGAAGAATGTCATGAAAATGTTCAACTGTAATCAAACAATCAGTTCTAAGAGATATTGTTACCAACTGGATATTGTCACCACTATTCTTTGTTGAAAAACCAAACTTTACTGATCAGTTATGAAAGTATGTTTATCTTGCATAACAGTGC